GGCGCGACACGAGGTACACTTTAGTTGCTCAAATTATGGTTGGCGATGGTGGCCATGGTGTTCCTAATTGATTAGGTGGGGGTGGTGTGGCATGATCCCTTGAAAGCAATTTGCGTAGGCCTTGATCACATGCGCAGCGCGCATAACAGACTTTTTTAGGAACAAATTCCACAGAGAGTACTGTTAGTACTGTCACAGAATACACTTTGTGTACAGACTACAGACTGCGAGTTGTGATCTGTCGATCTCAGTCTCCACTACCTGACCCCGCCGGTGGTTGCCGTTTTCATAAACAGAGTTGGTGTCGTTGGTTCCTGTTCCTTTCGTCTTCCTGTCTTCGTCTCGTAGCATGGCGCCTTGTGTTATGATTTAGTGTTCCCTAAATACAGCCATGATATTGGGATTCGTCCTTTTAATATAAGCTGAACAATGATAGTATATAGTACTAAACGTGCAGCATGACATTTCATTGACCGAGAAAATCGTTTTCCTTGAAAGCAAATCATTTCATGATCTTCGTGGTGCGCGTTGTTTAATCACAAAGGATTATATAATTGACGTAGTACACCTTACTTTCTCCAAAAGCTCTCTACTTGCTCCACATGCCCACCTAATCTAGCTGTCTTATGCGTTGTGTCAAAAGCAGAGCCAGGTCATTCTAAATATTCATACCTATCACTTCAATTAACATATCCTTCCTACTCCACCGATGGAACATTTCAGACTAATAAGTAAGTACTATTTTTTTTTATACAAAATGCGCGTGTCATGGTTACTTTGGTGTGTTTAGTTGTTCTGTCATGCACACAAATTCAGATTTGAAGGTTTGATTGGAGTGCTGAAGATTGAAACCTGTTGTCGGCATCTCTGATCAGTGCCATATGATAAGATTTTAAACTTTGGTCAATGCACGCCTAATTAAGTTGAAGGGACCAAATCTGAGATCTTATGTGGCAGTGGCACATATTTTGAACATACACATTCAATCCAAACAATGATTGATGAAACAAATACCTTCATGGCGTCACGGATCCAGCTCTTATACCGTTCTTCGCTTGTCCTGTCATTACAACTATACATTACCATGACTAGACCATTACGTATTTGACTTAGGGATCACATATGTGCTCCTACTAACTATGTTAAGTTGTCGCTGCTTTCATCACACAGTAAATGCATGTTTAGTCATGTGACATTTTGTGTGCAGATGGAAAATCGATCCTCCACTGCTGAATACCGGTGCCCGTCAGCAAACTGTTCAACCAGAGACGCAACCGATGCAAACTACTCTAGCAAGCACTGAAGACCAGCACTAGAGGACATTTCTTCTTTTTTCGTGGACAGTACAAGTCAGCAAATCAGGCTGCTGTTGCCCCTTAAAGATTTGTCAAAAGTCCCCAGCAGTTGCCCACTGATGCACCGTCGGTGCCAACCGCTGCCAAAGCAACAGAAGCCGCCTCAGCTCAGCTCATTTCTTTGGACTCTACAGTTAAAGCTACCAGAAGTACATGTAATCTTGGACACTTCGTCGTCTAAATCCCTTTATATCGACGTATAAAAAATAGGTAAAAAGTTTAATTATCCGTACCTCCGTTCCCCCTTGCTGTAGAATAGCATTGTAGGCATATTGTTTTCGTGTAAAATAGATGAGAGCAGGGACTTGCAAAAGTCTTGTGGTTTGGGAATCGAAGCATTGGTTGTACACACTTGTATGAAATAATGATGATCCAGTTTTCACTTCGTTTTCTATACACGTTGTACGTATGTCAAGATGTTTGGCCGTGCAATCCCTGGTGGTCAATTGGTCTTGGTGTTCCTAACTTTGAAACCAGCTCGTCAGCTACCTTAAACCGTAGGGCAGCTTCTCTGAACCTGTTGTTACCTTTGATTTTTCACTGTCAAAGTCAAATGTCGTGTAGGCATTGGCTAGTGTCTACTTCGCACAAGTGAATCACTCTGTTTTAGATTCATATTTTATCCGACTCAAATACTATTACCTCCTGGCTCCTGCTAGCGGTCCTAAATTTCTTAAGAGCCTGCAGGATTTTGTCCAGATCTTCATTTCCGAAGTCCTGAACTGATGGCTCAAAATTTTGTCCAGATGTTCCCCTACCCTTATATAAACATGGAAATTGGAAGATGCATCGTCGCATGGACCTGGGCTGTCTGACATTTGTTGGAAGGAATTGGCTTCGACAGGAACAAGAAAGCCTATCACTTGAGTTTAGTGCCAGCACGGTCCACGTCGTGTGCACAAACTGCGAGGCTAACGGGCCCTAAACTTCTTGGACTAGATCTTCCAAGCGATCGTCACGACGAATCCTATCCATCATGGGCCGTATAGCTGCTGGATGGACCAGTGATGAATCCACGCATAATAGCCCAGAGCTCACCATCCGCCTCTTTTTTCCATTTCTGATGAATGTTCTAAAAGTAGACTTTTAAATGTAAAACAATATACAGCTAAATTCAAAGAGTGACTAAACTTGGGTGGTTGAGTGTATGACCATATTTCCCTCCCAACCAAATGAGTTAGATTCACTTTTTGTATTTCATGAATCGTTGATGAACGTCTTTGTAAATGTGAAGCGATCACAAATGAGTCAACATCATCAAAACAGCGAGAATGCAAAAAGAAGAGAGAGAAACGGAATAACCCGGAGACGTGACTGGGTTAACCGGCTAACTCATCAGCTTCAGAGTTCACATCATTAATTAATATTAATTAATAATATTGCGTCGGCTCTGCGTCGGCTCCTCGACGAGAAGCACCGTCCACGTCGCCCAACAAAAGGAATCCTTAAGGAGCTGGATGCCAAACAACGCTGCTTCCTATGGACGGGCGGAACACGGTTAGCTGGAGGGAAATGCAAAGTGGCTTGGAAACAGGTGCGCCGACCAATAAAATTGGGTGGTCCTAGAGTGCTAGATATCTATAAATTTTCACGGGCCCTGCGGCTACATTGGCTATGGCAATCATGAAAGTCCGAAAATAAGTCTTGGGTTGGTATGGAGATCCCCTGCACCAATACAAATAGAAGGCTTTTCAATGCGGTGACCAAAATTACAATTGAAAATGGAGCAAAGGCCTTATTTTGGCACTCTGCATGGTTGGATGGGATTTGTCGAAAGGACCTGGCACCCACGATTTTTGCCTTGAGCAGGAAAAAGAACAGGACATTTCAGCAAGCAGTAACTAGAAATGTTTGGGTCCAGGACTTGAACGTGCTACACATAAACTCCATCCTCCAAATTTCCTAGTTTGTGAGCCTCTAGGAGAAGGTCCGCTCTACTCACCTTGACCCAAATTTACAGGACCAGATCACTTAGCGTTTCTGTGCTTCTGGTGAATACTTTTGACAAATTCTTTGCAAATTTACAGGACCAGATCACTTTGCATACTTGACTCAATTCTTGGGATCCATTTCCACCGACCACAACAAGCTCATATGGCGCACTTGGGCCCCTCCCATATGCAAATTCTTTGCCTGGCTTAGCTTTCCAAAATCGCCTTTGGACTTCAGATCGCCTCCAAAAACGCGGTTGTCCCAATCACACGGATGAATCTGCCATTCACTTACTTGCACACTGCCACTATAACCTCCGAGTTTGGAATGTCGTGCGTACTTGGACGGGTGGCAACTTACCATTCACTTCTCGGTGGGGCAATCTTCGTTCTACAGATCAATGGTGGCGAGCAATCGGCACATCGCCAGGCTTGCCGACAAAGGCGGTACGTACGCTAACCACTTTAGTAGCATGGGAGATTTGGAAAGAGAGAAATGCGAGAATATTTGATCGCCGCCATAACACAACGGAAGCACTCATTGGCAAGATAAAGGAAGAGGCTAGACTCTGGTGTGCAGCAGGAGCCAAAAAAAACTTTGTGAGATCATTCCTACCTCCCTTGCTTGAGGCATAGCTTAGTTTTTGTGCATTTTATTTTCTTTTGTGTGATTGTTTTGTATAGTGCTTGTTCCCTTCTATATCAATACAAGTTCGGCGGAGCTCCTGGAGACCGTTTCAAAAAAAAAAATGCACTCTAGTTGTTTGATACTAGATTTGGTAACTAGAGTACCAAGGGATTGGCTAAGATTTTCCCCATTATTTTAGTGACACTATGCATAAGGCTTATATTGATCTATAGTCCGCCACGGTATTCGCCCCCTGCTAACTGACCTTCTGGCGAGTTATCATGGCGTCTCACGCTCCAAGAGTATTATGCCAAGGCAAGAGATGTATAAACAACAAGAACGTTTCTCAATTGCAATCCATAAAAATCAAGATACTTGTGCAAAATGGCGGTGTAAACAACAAGATGCATGGTCAATGAAGACATGTTTCTTCCAAGTTTCCTCTCCTAATATAATCTTCCTTGATGTCAGTGGGTATATCCCTATCTATACAGAATCAGATAGCTTTTTAACATAAAAAAAAAATGTCCATAATTACATCATATTTTTATCCTCTTCTCTATCAATACATGATTGGCAGACTTTTCAAAATTATGACAAGGAACTAGCTCTCTCTTTCCCACAGGTCGTGCAATGGTCTGCCAGTATTGCAGGACACGCTTGGCGTGCACCAACCAGGTCACCTTCTACGATCGAGCTCATGGCGATAAGGATTAAGGAAGGCCCTGCTGCTGACGTAGAACATTGCGTAGTTCCCAGTACAAGAACACTAGCCTAGTTCCAAAGTCCAAAGTTTGTCCCTTTTTGACCCTTGCTATAATCACCACGGCCTGTCCGATGTTACGCCGTAACAAAATTTATACAGCACAATCATCTCAGTTTCCAAGGCTGACCACATCCATATATACATGTCACCACACCAAGAACAGGTGTGAATTTTCTTTCATCACCATCCCAGATCACCAACCTCCAGGCTCCAGGCTCTAGAGGAGAGTAATAGTAAATAAAGAGAAGAAGAAGAAGAAGAAGAAAATGTGCCTTTTACAGTGCTGTTACTCTTGCCATCTCAAGGTGATCTTGGACAGGATGGTGCCGAGCTGCCTGCAGCAGGACCAACGGCAGAGCGAGAGGCTGCCCCTGGCGGCGGCAGCCGGAGCAGAGGCGAGGCAGGTCACCCTGGAGGAGATGCTGTACCCGCCGCCGAGCTGGGAGACGGAGGCTGCTGCGACGCCGTCGCGGCGCAGCTCCCCGAAGGTGTGCCCGGTGAACCTGGCCGACCTGTTCTCCGACGAGGAGGAAGGAGCACACTCCGGGAGCGGCGGCGGTTACTCCCCGCCGGACGTCGTCAACGAGAGCGTGTCCATGTCCATCGTCAGTCGGGCGTCGCTCCGGAGCCTGCACAGCGTGTCCCGGAGGGTGAGCTTCAGGTCCCCCGACGAGTCCGACGTGTTCATCATCCCGGCGAGAAGCCACTCGGACGACGACGACGATGAGTGGAGTAGTGACGGTGAGCCAAGCAGGACGTGACGTGACATGAACGAAGGAGAGCTCTGCTGGAGAGGAGAGGATTCAGGTGTGAGTGCGTGCCAGTGGCATGCATGACACGTACGTCCAGGATTATTGTTTGTTTCCGTTTCTTGGCATGGAAACATGCACATGTTGCATTCTTGGCTTGTTTTGCCGTGACAATGTACACACCTGTAGACTGCATCGATATCTCCGGCGTTTCAGGGTGGTTTTGAGTAGTGGCAGGCCACAAATTCCGGCAGATTTCCGAGAGTGGAGGAGGAGGTAGCAGTCGCTCCGTCCATGGGCTGCCCTCCATCACTCTCCTGCCGTCCGTCTTGTTCGGATCCTGAACAAACCACCACGCCTCGTCTTCTCCTCTCCTCTCCATCGGCGTACTTGCGCATGTCCTGAGTAGTCCTGACCGACCCATCGCCATCGCCATAGCATCGGGATCGAGCAGCTCGCCGAGAATGCTGCAGCTGGGCTGAGGAGAGCGATCAAGAGATCATCGAGGGTCAGGGGTATGGTGTGAGCGAGGGAGGGTGGACAAGATGGAGAGCTACCTGAACGAGAACTTCGGGGGCGTGAAGGCGAAGCACTCGTCGGACGAGGCGCTGGGGCGATGGCGGAGCGTCGTCGGCGTCGTCAAGAACCCCACCAGGCGGTTCCGCTTCACCGCCAACCTGGGCAAGCGCTCTGAGGCCGCCGCCATGAAGCGGTCCAACCAGGAGAAGCTGCGGGTCGCCGTGCTCGTCTCCAAGGCCGCGCTCCAGTTCATCCACGGCCTGCCCCCGCAGGGCGACTACGCCGTCCCCGCCGACGTCAAGGCGGCGGGCTTCGGCATCTGCGCCGAGGAGCTGAGCTCCATCGTGGAGAGCCATGACGTGAAGAAGCTCAAGTCCCACGGCGGCGTCGACGGCCTCGTGTCCAGGCTGTCCACCTCGGCATCCGACGGCCTCGCCGCCGATAACAATAAGCTGATGTCGGCGCGGCGGGAGGTCTTCGGCGTCAACCGCTTCGCCGAGGCGGAGCAACGCAGCTTCTGGGTCTTCGTATGGGAGGCTCTCCAGGACATGACGCTCATGATCCTCGCCGCCTGCGCTCTCGTCTCCCTCCTCGTGGGGATCGCCACCGAAGGGTGGCCCCACGGCGCGCACGACGGGCTCGGCATCGTCGCCAGCATCCTGCTCGTCGTCTTCGTCACCGCCACCAGCGACTACCGCCAGTCGCTGCAGTTCAAGGACCTCGACAAGGAGAAGAAGAAGATCACCGTGCAGGTCACGCGGAGCGGCTACCGCCAGAAGCTCTCCATCTACGAGCTCCTCGCCGGCGACATCGTCCACCTCTCCATCGGCGACCAGGTGCCCGCGGACGGGCTCTTCTTGTCCGGGTTCTCCCTGCTCATCAACGAGTCCAGCCTCACCGGGGAGAGCGAGCCCGTCGCGGTGAGCGCTGAGAACCCGTTCCTGCTGTCGGGGACCAAGGTGCAGGACGGCGCGTGCAAGATGCTCGTCACCACCGTCGGCATGCGGACGCAGTGGGGCAAGCTGATGGCCACGCTGAGCGAGGGCGGCGACGACGAGACTCCGCTCCAGGTCAAGCTCAACGGCGTCGCCACCATCATCGGCAAGATCGGCCTCGCCTTCGCCGTCGTCACGTTCGCGGTGCTCACCCAGGGCCTATTCTGGCGCAAGCTCGCCGACGGCTCCTACTTCAGCTGGACCGGCGACGACGCGCTGGAGCTGCTCGAGTTCTTCGCCATCGCCGTCACCATCGTCGTTGTAGCCGTCCCCGAGGGCCTGCCGCTCGCCGTGACGCTCAGCCTCGCGTTCGCCATGAAGAAGATGATGAACGACAAGGCGCTCGTCCGGCACCTCGCGGCCTGCGAGACCATGGGCTCCGCCACCACCATCTGCAGCGACAAGACCGGCACGCTCACCACCAACCACATGACCGTCGTCAAGGCCTGCATCTGCGGCAAGATCAAGGACGTGAACAGCTCCGCGGAGACCAAGACGCTGCCCTCTGACCTGCCGGCGTCCGTCGTGGCCATGCTCCTGCAGTCCATCTTCAACAACACCGGAGGCGACGTCGTGCTCAACCAGGACGGGAAGCGCGAGATCCTCGGCACGCCGACCGAGGCCGCCATCCTGGAGTTCGGCCTCTCCCTCGGCGGCGAATTCTCGGCGGTGCGCAAGGCGAGCACGCTCCTCAAGGTGGAGCCCTTCAACTCGGCAAAGAAGAGGATGGGGGTGGTCATCCAGCTCCCCGGCGGCGCGCTGCGGGCGCACTGCAAGGGCGCGTCGGAGATCATCCTGGCGTCCTGCACCAGGTACCTGGACGAGCACGGCAATGTCGTCGCCCTCGACGGCGCCACCACGGACCACCTCAGGGCCACCATCGACAGCTTCGCGAACGAGGCGCTCCGGACGCTGTGCCTCGCCTACGTCGACGTCGGCGAAGGGTTCTCGGCGAACGATCAGATTCCGATGGACGGGTACACGTGCATCGGCGTCGTGGGGATCAAGGACCCCGTCCGTCCCGGCGTGAAGGAGTCGGTGGCGATCTGCAGGTCTGCAGGCATCACCGTCAGGATGGTTACTGGTGACAACATCAACACGGCCAAGGCGATTGCGCGGGAATGCGGCATTTTGACTGAAGGTGGCGTCGCCATTGAAGGCCCGGACTTCAGAGTCAAGACTGAAGAAGAACTGCAAGAACTGATACCAAAAATACAGGTGGGTTGACATTGATAGATAAACTACTTATTACCTTCCATAGCTACATTTCTGGAGTTCATTTGTCTGGTTTCACGATGCGATTCAGGTGATGGCAAGATCTTCGCCGCTTGACAAGCACACCTTGGTGAAGCATCTACGAACTACATTTGATGAAGTTGTTGCGGTGACCGGCGATGGCACAAATGATGCGCCTGCACTACATGAAGCCGATATTGGGCTTGCAATGGGCATTGCTGGCACTGAGGTACTATTTACTTCATTTTTCCTAAATTAGATACTGGAGTTACTTTTACAAGACTATGATCAGTATTCAGTGTACATCAAACTTACAATGTACTAATTGGTAGTCATATTTGTTCAGCATGTTTTCTCCTCGGCTGTTATTTGACATCAATGTAATATCTAACTAGCAATTTTATTAGTTGAATGAGCTCATTCGCCATTTCCATTTTAATGTTTGAAGGTGGCAAAAGAGAGTGCCGATGTTATTATTCTCGATGATAACTTCTCCACCATAGTTACTGTTGCCAAATGGGGTCGATCAGTGTACATCAACATTCAGAAGTTTGTGCAGTTTCAGCTGACAGTCAATGTCGTTGCACTCATTGTGAACTTCTCTTCAGCTTGCTTGATAGGTAAATCTCACATTGGTGCATTAATCTAAGGTGAATAGGTGGTTGCAATCTGCAACTGAAATAGACTGACTCTGAAACACCAAAACAATTTGTCGCCATAAAACTATGTATTGTTTCACTAAGCCCATTGCTATGTTGCATTGCATCAGCTACTGCTGCATACTCATCAACATGCTATTCCAACTATGATACAAACATCAGAATCTGCACCTTAACAGATGTATTAATACTAAAAAGGATCTAAATTTGGCCATTCTTATAGTACTGATGTAACAGATCTTAAACTTCTTAGCTAGCTTCTTTCGTAACACTATCGCTTATTCTTGTGGTTCTGCTTGTCAATTCAGGGAGTGCTCCCCTGACTGCTGTGCAGTTGCTCTGGGTCAACATGATCATGGACACACTAGGAGCACTGGCACTGGCCACAGAACCTCCAAACGATGAGCTCATGAAGAGAACTCCTGTTGGAAGGAAAGGAAACTTCATCAGCAACATCATGTGGAGGAACATCATGGGACAGGCCTTCTACCAGTTCCTTGTGATTTGGTATCTGCAGTCTCAAGGGAAATGGCTCTTCGGAATCGAGGGCGCCAACTCTGATCTGGTCCTGAACACAATCATCTTCAACTGCTTTGTATTCTGCCAGGTAATGTGGAGGTTCTTCTTGCACTTATGGCAACCTGGCAAAGTATGATTACTGGAAATTTCAAATGTTTGTGAATACTGAACAAACAACGTACCATGAACAAATTTTTACTAGATTTTATCATGTGAAGCTGCACTGAATTCCTTCTCGATCATGCAGGTTTTCAATGAGGTGAGCTCAAGAGAGATGGAGAGGATAAATGTGTTCCAAGGCATTCTAGACAACAACGTGTTCGCCATGGTCCTCGGCAGCACCGTCGTCTTCCAGTTCATAATCATACAGTGCCTCGGCAGCTTCGCCAACACGACCCCTCTCAGCTTCACGCAGTGGATGTCCTGCATCGCCATCGGATTCATAGGCATGCCAATCGCTGTGGCGGTGAAGATGGTTCCGGTGGAGTAGGCCTCTCTCAGAATTCAGAACTGAAGCCAGGCAGGCAGGCAGGCAGGCAGTTTTGGCCATTATATTGCTTGCCCTCATAACACAGCTATGTTTGTTTTCCTGTATAATGCATGCAGCTAGGTGAGTCACTGCACATCTTCCTTGCTTATGATCTAGGCTTCTAGAAATCGAATGCCAACTGCCAAGGCAATGGGCTCGATTCTGAAAAGTGTTGAGTAGAATCTTGTAGCTCTGGATGCTTCAATTTTTTTTTTTTCCCAGATGTTTCTTCCTTTAGAAGAAGTAACTGTTGGCTTGAAATGTTTACAGCAGCACCGTTTTTTTTTAAGAACAGAACAGGCTTTATTCATTTGGTATTCTACAAAGGGTTCCTACCTCTTGAGATATTGTGCTGTAATTTCGTGCCACGGGTCGGAGAGCATAAGCATGCTGCTGTTTCTCTTGTAACATGCTCCTTGCTGCATTAGTACTATGTTATAAGCAAGCACTGAGGGGTGTCCACCAACACTGGGAGGCTGACAGGCTGTTTAGAACCTAGTAGAATTAAAATATGGGCAATGCTATGATACCCCCTTTACCTTTTAGGAGGTAATA